TGTTTCTTGTTTTTTATCTCATTTTTTTACAAGTTTTTCGGTCTGTCTGTTTCGTTGGTTCCTTTAGAGCATTTGTTATTAAATAGTTATGTAATAATTATTTAATAATTCTTCTAATATTATTTAATAATTATTTAATTATTAATTACTATTTAATTAGCATTTAATTGCTATTTAATTGTTATTTAATTATTATTATTCATTCAATTTACTATTTGTTATTATTTGTTTGTTTTTAATATTTTGTTTTTACTTCAAAATCACTTTCAACTTGAAACTGTCGCCTGCAAATTAATTTTCATCTCTTATTTCCAATTCTATTTATTATTTTAATTCAATTCCATTTAATTAATTTAATTTAATTTAATTTAATTAATTTAATTTATTTTATTTTATTTTATTTTATTTATTTGCAGAGCCAATTCTGACGGAGGGCAGCGGCGACATTTACTGCTGGGCCGACGGCTGGACTGTATGTACACAGGACGGAGGCCGCTGCGCGCAGTTTGTGAGTTTTATTTTTTCATTTTTTATTTATTTTAATTATTTACTTTTATTTATTTTAATTATTTGTTTTATTATTTTAATTATTTATTTTATTATTTTAATTATTTGCTTTTATTTGTTTTCATTATTTGTTTTATATATTTTCATTTTTTATTTATTTTAATTATTTATTTTTATTTATTTTAATTATTTACTTTTATTTATTTTAATTATTTATTTTATTATTTTATTTATTCGTTTTTATTTTTTACTATTAATTTTTATTTATTTTGTTCAATTTTAATTTTAATTTTAATTATTTACTTTAATTGTTTATAATATTTATTTGGTTTACATGTTTACTTTAGTTGTTTATTTCATCTCATTTATTCCAATTTTAATTTTGTTTTAGCTGTTAATTTTAATTTGAATTATTAATTTAAACTGTTTGTTTTAATTGTTTGTTTTAATTGTTTATTTTAATTATTTGAATTATTTGTTTTATTTTTAATTTTTTTTTCATCTTTATTTTCTGACACTTCCCCGCCTCCCCTTCTGCGCCCATTTTAGCCACTCAAGATTTCCCACTAACTCCAAAATGAATTAAAAATAAAAATTGAAATAAAATGAAGTTTAATTTAAAACAAAAAATAATCTAAATTGGTATATTATAATGGTGTTTATAAAATACATTATGAGTATTTTTAGCACACTTTAGTACTTGTATCCAGTGTTGGCCAGGCTGTCTATATAGTAAATTATATATATAATAATATTACATAAAAATATAAAAATAAAATACAACAATAATATATATAAAAGTGTTTTAAGATTTGCACTATTTAAATGCATTACGGCATTTATATATTGGAACGCAGAGCTGCAGCAGCACTTAAAAGGAAAAGAAATAATTCTGGAAACAAAAAGGCCTTCTGCGTTGAGGTGTACGTACACCGCAGGGTGTACAGGCCGCTGGGGTGTACGTACACCCGAAAAAACGCAACTTGGAAGCAACTTCAAAAAGGAACTTCAAAAAGGAACTTCATTTGTTCTTTCTTTGTTTGTTGCAACTCAGGAACACACAATTCTGGTGACTGAAGAAGGAGCAGTTCCTTTGACAGTGCCGACTAGTTCGTGAGGCGTTGGGGTGTACGTACACCCGGCGCAGTGCGGGCTGGAGGAACTGGAAAAGACTTCATTTGTTTTATTCTTTCGACTGGCTGCAGCCCGGAGGCCTCTTTCTAGATCTAATTAGTTTAATAATAATACTTCTTTGGTTGGCATTTGAAGAAAAGAAAAAGCAAATCTAGAAATGCATGCATACACCGTGGGGTGTATGGACAGCTGCGCGGCGCCGCTGTCCATACACCGGCAGTGGCGCCGAACTTTTGCAACTTGGACTATAAAGGACTCTAAAGAAAGGCGAAATAAAGTGTTTTATTTGTTTTATTTGTTTAATTTGTTTAATTTGTTTTAATTTATTTGTTTTTGATGCATTTGTTCATTTGCTCCATTTCAATTCGATGGGTTCCCGGCGACGCGCAGCCACGGGCCGAAACGAAGTGTACGTACACCCCAGCGGGCGATCTCGAGCAAAGTGAAAACGCAGAAAGACAAACAGATAAATAATAAATACAAATGCGCAGAGCTGCTCTGCTGCGGCTCGAAGCAGCAGCAGCCGAAGCAGCAAACTGCGAACGCACTTCCCTGCGCAGCAGCAGCAGCGCAGCAGCAGCAGCTCAACGCAGCAGCCCCGGGGGGCCCCCAAGGGGGCCCCTGGGGGCCCCCAAGGGGGCCCCTGGGGGCCCCCAGCATAAGTGCAGCTCCCTATACACCTGAACTGCATGCAATTCGATGAAGCGACGAAAAGATTGCGTGAAGATATCTTGACCTGCGCGCGGAGCAGCAGAACGAGCAGCAGCAGCAGTTGCTGCTGCTGCTGCTGCTGCTGCTGCTGTTGCACTGTGTTGTTACACTGTTGCTGCTGTGCTGTGGGTGTCCTTGTGGCGTCTTCTGCTGCTGCTGCTGCTCGGCTGTGTCCCGCTGCTGCTGTGGGAAGCGGCCACTCATCGCGGCAGCAGGGGGCGTGCTGCTGCTGCTGCTACTACTGTTGCTGTTGTTGCTGCTGCTGCTGCTGCTGTTTGTGTTGCTGCAGCTGCTCAGCAGCAGTGGTGGTTGCGGTTGCTGCTGCAGGTGCTGCTGCTGCAGGTGCTGCTGCTGCAGGTGCTGCTGCTGCAGGTGCTGCTGCTGCAGGTGCTGCTGCTGCAGGTACTGCTGCTGCAGGTGCTGCTGCTGCAGGTGCTGCTGCTGCAGGTGGTGCTGCTGCAGCTACTCGTCGTCTTCGCAGTCGCTTGGGGGCTGCGTGTCTGCGTCTGCGTCTGCGTCTGCGTCAGCGTCAGCAGCAGCAGCAGCAGCAGCAGCAGCTGCTGCTGCTGCTGCTGCTTCGGGGTCGACCGGCGCGATATCCTCGACAGCAGCAGCCGCGTTTTCCGCAGCAGCTGCGGCGACGTCTGCGGCGTGGGCAGCAGCAGCAGCAGCAGCAGCAGCAGCAGCGTGTGCTGCTGCGTCTTGGGGGTGGTGTGCGACCTTGTCGGCGTCGGCCGCAGCAGCAGCAGCAGCAGCAGCCCTGTCGGCGGCAGCAGCGGCGTCCGCAGCAGCAGCAGCAGCCTCGTGCTGCAGCAGCAGCTGCAGCGCCTCAATGGCGTGCTGCGGCGGGAAGTCCTCGGCCTCCCGCTGCAGCCGAAAAGCCTCCGGATCTGCTGCTGCAGCAGCAGCAGCAGCAGCAAAGCTGCGCAGCGCAGCATGGGCCGGCGCAGCATCCAGCGGCAGCAGCGAGCTCCCCCCGAAGCCCTGCCACAGGCACTTCTCTCCAACTCTTTTCTTGAGTTTTATTTTTGAAACTTCGTCGGAAACAATTAAAATACCTTTATTTCTGAACTTGACAAAGCTTTTAAAAGCTTTAAAAAGAGTCCCGAAGCAGCAGGGGGGGTGCAGCACGAAAGCAGCAGCCCAGCCGCGGCCAGCCACGCCCTGCAGCGCAGCATTTAGCTGCTGCAGCAAAGACTTGAAGCCCCAAGACAGCTGCAGCGCAGCACGCCAGCCAAAACCCTCGAAGTCCAGCAGCAGCAGCAGCGGGGGCTCGAGCCTGTAGACGGGGGCAATCCTGCGCCAGTAGGCCTCGAAGAGCCAGCGGAGATAGCGCAGGAACTGCTGCTGCTGCTGCTGCTGCTGCAGCAGCTGCTGCAGCGCGAAGCGCCCCACACGGGCCACCACTTGCCGCGCTCGCGGGCCGCTCCCGCAGCTCCGCCGGTAGAAGTAGACTGGGGCCAGCTGCTGCCACTGCAGCAGCAGCTGCCGCTGCTGCAGCAGGTGCTGCTGCTGCCAGCTGCTGGGCCCTGGCTGCTCCCGCAGCCTTGCTGCTGCGTCCGAGTCCGGGTCTGTACCCGGCAAGTTCCGGTCCCGCAGCTGGCCCCCCACTGCCGCCACCACTGCTGCTGCTGCTGCTGCTGCTGCTGAGGGGCCCGCTGCTGCTGCGCCCTCTGCTGCTGCTGCTGCGGCGAAGGAGCAGCAGGGCCACTGCCCCCACACAGCCGCCCACACCCACCACAAGCCCAGCAGCAAACCACGGAACCCCACGACCCCCGCCGCCATCGCCTCCTACTCCCAGCTGCTGCAGCAGCAGCAGCAGCAGCACCGCAGACCCGCGAACCCAGCTGCAGCAGCAGCAGCAGCAGCGGCAGCAGCAGCAGCAGCAGCGGCCGAGACGCGTTGCCCGGACTCCTCCTCTCGCCAACGCCTAGCCAGCCGCCCCAAGAGCCCACTCGAATCCAACGAACTCTGGCCACTCTAAAACGCAGAATTGAACATTATAAGCCGCTTTTCGCGCGAAAAGATGAAATAAAACCAGCAGCAGCAGCAGCAGCAGCAGCAGCAGCTGCCCCGGTGGCAGCACGCTCAGCAGGGCTGCCCGCTCCTCGTCCTGTGCCGCCGGCTGGCTCCGGCGCGCCGCCTCCGCGCCCCCAAATTGCAAAATAAACTCCAAAAAGAAAACTTTATTCTCTTTTCTTTTTTATTTGACGAATTCAACTTGCTTTCCGACTGCGGCGCGCGGGTGCTGCGGTGGGGCGCAGGGCTGAGGTGTATGCACAGCACAAATCGAGCCTGCAGCTGCCGCCGCGCCCCAGCATCGCCGCCGCACTCTTTCCGACAAACTGCAGCTCCTCATTAAATAAATAGAAATTATTTCAACGCAGCGCAAACAATTCAGTCAGTTCCGCACAATTAGCCAGAAAACAGCGGCATTTCTAGTCCCGAACCCCCGCCTCCGCAACCCGGGAGCTCCCGTCGAGGCAGCGCCGAGCAACCCCCAATTTCAGATCTTTCGCCACTTTTTCTCATTTATAATGCATTATTTAAATAATAAATGAGTTGTTCTCCACAAATTGAGGCCGGAAAGCCCCAAGGCCCCGCGAAATCGCCAAAATCCGGCCCCCCCCCCGCCGCGGCGGGGGGCTGTATAGACACCCCACTCCAGCCAAACCCGCAAATTTTATTCCTTGCTGCTTTCGCGCACTCTGCAGCAACTCTGGCTGCGGCTTTGCGCAGCAGCGCCGCGGGGCCCTCTGCAGCACTTCTGCTGCCAGCAGCAGCGCGAGTTCCGCGGCTGCAGCGCCCCTGCAGCGCGCTGCAGGGGCCCCGCACCCTCCTGCTGCAGCAGCTGCTGCTGCTGGCTGCACCTGCTGCGCTCCCACTGGCCCGGGGGCCCCCAGCAGCAGCAGAGGGGCCCCCAGCAGCAGCAGGGGGGCCCCCAGGACTGCGCAAACCCCCTTCAGGCCCTAGACATTCCTGGATTAAAATTGATTCAATAGGCACTTAATGTTTAATTTCTAAACTAAAAGGGGGGGGATTGGCTGCATGGCTAGCTAGCAATAGCTGCAGCTAGCTGCAGCTAGCTACAGCTAGCTGCAGCACAAGCGCCCCTTTTGGCTAGCTAGCTACGAGGCCCCAAGGGACTAGCACAGCTAGCCATGCAGAGCCACAGCTAGCCACTTGGCTAGTTGCACTTAGCGCAGCTAGCTACAGCTAGCTACAGCTAGCTACAGCTAGCTACAGCTAGCCACAGCTAGCCACAGCTAGCTACGGCTAGCCACAGCTAGCTGCAGCTACCCGTTTGGCTAGCTGCGCCTAGCCCAGCTAGCCACAGCTAGCCAAGCTAGCCACAGCTAGCCACTTGGCTAGCTGCGCCTAGCGCAGCCTGGATCGAAGTCCGCATGCAAACATGGCAAAGGGAGTTGCACTTATATGAGAAGTTAATTAGAAGTTAAGTCCATTTCAATGGCTACGGCCTTTATTGCAGCTAAAAAGAAATTAAAATGTTTTGTTAATTCACTTGGGAGCCACTTTTGGGTGGACTGCCCTGCGGGCGTGGGGTGTACGTACACCCGGCGCCCCACTGCTGCCACCCAAACGTTTTAAACATCAAAAGTACTTTTTAATTATTTTAATTTTTTAAAATAATTCGCGCAGCAGCAAAGCAAAGAAGAGTTAAAAAGAAGGCCTTTTGTGTCTCAGGAATTATTAAATTAAAAACTTCTGAACTTCAACTGCAGCAAACAGCAGCAGAAACTTCTTGCTGCTGGACAGACACCCCAAATGGCCTTGGTGTTCACCGCTAGCCAGCTGCAGCTGGAGAGCTAGGCCCAGCTAGCTAGCTGGCTAGCTGTAGCTAGTGAGCGCGAGGAGAGCTAGCTGGCTAGCTAGAGCCAGCTAGCTGGATAGCTAGAGCCAGCTAGCTGGATAGCTAGAGCCAGCTAGCCGGCAAGCTGGAGCTAGCTAGCGTGAGTAGAGCTGGCTGGCTAGCTAGGGCTAGCTAGCTGGCTAGCTAGAACTAGCTAGCGTGAATAGAGCTAGGTGGCTAGCTAGAGCTAGCTAGCTAGCTGGCTAGAGGTAGCTAGCTGGCTAGCTAGAGCTAGCTAGGTGTCTCGCTGGGGCTAGCTGAACAGCTAGCTTGCTGGCTAGCTAGGACTAGCTGGCTAGCTAGGGCCAGCTAGCCGTCTCACTGCAGCTAGCTGCCTGGCTAGCTACAGCTAGCTACGCGAGCTGGGCGCGCTGGTTTACATCACAAGTGGCGGCTGTTGACAAAGGCTGGCAGCTGCAGCAGCCACTTTTGCTGCTGCTCTGCGCAGCTGCTGCTGCAGTGCATCCGCTGCTGCAGCAGCAGCCCCGTGCTGCTGAACTTGGACTGTGCTGCAGCGCCTTGTGGGATTAAGTTTTGCTGCTGTTGCTGCAGCAGCTTCTGCCTTTGCTGCTTCTGCTGCTTCTCCTTTTTGGCATTTCAGAGGACCAGATTTTGCTGCTTCAAAGAAAGGGTTTGAAGCCTTTCTTTGAAGCAGCAAAATCCAACAAAAGAAGAGAAAAAAGAAAAGGAAGAAAACCGCGGGAAGCAGCAGCCGGTCGTTAATTGAGCAGCAGCAGCAGCAGCAGCAGCAGCAGCAGCAGCAGCAGCAGCAGCAGCAGCAGCAGCAGCAGCAGCAACCAGCTCACATTACGCAACTTGGCAGTGGATCGCTAGATCGAAGTGTAGCACGAACTTGACTTCGATTTTTTATTCTTTTAATTTCTGAAATGATTAGCTTCGAATTAGAGGCCTATAAACTCGATTTTAGGGTGTACAGACACTGCAGAAATGTGCAGCTTCACGCGAGAAGTGCAGCCGTCCCAGAAATACTTCTTTTTGATTTCTGCAAACTGAGCTTTCTGGGTCAGTAATAGAACACGGGCTTCAATTTAGGAAAAGAATGTTGCTGCAATTCTCCTTTTTTTTCGTCTTTTTGTGGAATTTTTGAAGAGAATTCAAAAACAGTGGCTAATTGCGAGTTTCTGAATAGTCTCCTGACAGTGGAAACTCTTTTGCAGAATTTTTTGCACAACAAGGGACCTTAATGGATATCTGTTTGGCTATAAAGGCACTCAGTGAAATTTCCAGAAAAAGAAATTAAAAACTCATAAGAAAGCGCACTGAGGAGCAATCTGCATGCAACAAGGCTTCTTGCTGCAGGCAGCACTGGAAGACAACTTGCAAGACTTGGCAGAACGGCCACTTCTGAGTGGCGTTTTGGATGAAAAATACTAAATATAGTTTTGAAAATAAAAATATAATTATTTGGTGCTTTATATATGGACATTGCCCGTTAATTATTGCTTGGTTCGGGACCTGCTCGCGGCTGTCACGCTTATTGTGGCTCCTCCTATCCCGAAAGTCCGTATGTTTCTTCGTGCCCGCATGTAAACATAGAAGTCTACAAATATATAAATATGCAAATAAATTTGCAAATATAATTAAATGGGATACAGAGAAGTTGTAGTCAAGTGAGTGTCGATTTCGGCGGCAGCGAAGCCCGGACTTGATGGGCTCTTCAGCTTTCCGCTTCGCGCATTCCTCTTTCAACCGAAATACTGCAAATAAATCCGAGATTTATACTTTGGTTTGAAATCAATGAATGAAATTAATGAAATAAAGTCAAGGGAAACAGTTTGATTGCCAAAGTAGCCGCCTTCCAGCAGGCATACCACCCTGGCCTCTCGAAGCAGTCCCACCCAGTCGGCGCAGCGTCAACGCTGTTGGCCATTGTGCTCGGGTGAAACTTCATTTCGAAGAATAAAATTATATTTCAGACAAAACAGACACAAAATGCAACTTTAATTTGCGCAAATTGAGCTCCAGAGTGGCAGCGTTTCTGCAAATCTGGTGGCAGCCGCAGGCTCGATGCAGGTCTGTTGGTCCAGCCGCCGTGCCAGCTGATGTCGCTGGTGGCTTTTCTCCGGAATCTGCCGACTTAAACTTTTATTTTCTCGAGTTTTAGCAATCCTAATGTTTTAAAGTGAGGCGTGGACGCTGTGTAGCCCCCAGACAGCGTAGATGCTCTCCATTCGCGTTGGAGGTCAAGTTCAGATTTGGCGGCGCGGCTGCCTGTTGCTGCGTGGATCTCCGCGTTGAGTGTCCTTCTGCAGGCATTTTCGATTTAAAACATTCCAAGTTGAACTTGAAAAGAATTTGGAAGCAGCGATGGGCCACTCGGCGGGCGGGATGCTGCAGAAGGCGCCGTGGCACCAGTTCTTCTCGAACCACCCCAGGAAGCTGGCGCTGCGCTCGCGGCTGCTGCTGCTGCTGGACTGCGCCATTTTGGGGCTAATATGTGCCTCTTTGACGGGTCCTTGGTACCGGCAGGACTGGAGAGTGGCCAATGGCGAGATTCTTTCGTGGACTCTGCACCTGAGCAGGGCCAAGTTCAGCGTGGACTGCTCTTCAGACTCTCCGGAGTTTCTGGAACTCTGCCAAATCCTGTACGGCCGCATGGCCGGGGACTTGCGGGCAGTCACGCGTTCAATTTGCAGCGCCGGGCGCAAAGTGCAGGACACAGACCTGCAGGCTTTGCTGCAGGAAACCTGCAGCGACATGAAGCTCATAGAGAAGCTCTCCGTGGCCTCTGGGATTTTGGTGGGGTTGTGTTTATGTTTTTCGGCCTTTAGTGTTATTTCTTTTTTGCTGCACTGGGGCTCGGGCTTTCGCAACCGCAGGGCGTGGCGGGCCAGCTTTGGCTGCCGGCTGCTGGCCTGGCTGGCCGCAGCCTTTGCCTGCATTTCCTACAGCGCAGCAGTCCTCAACGTTGAAGATCTTTTTCACTTCCAGCCCCCCCTAAATGTGGCTTTTGACCCTGCCCACGTAGAGCCTGTTTCCCACGAGTTGCTCTACGGATTCATCTTAGCCATTTTCACCGCTGCCTTCACCACGCTTTACCTCCCTTTTTGGTGGAAAGCTGCGCCTTACGACCCAGACCCTTACTTTTTAGAGCCCGCAGCAATGCGTCGAGGCTTTGTTTGATCTTTTCTGTTTATTATTTCCTTTTTTCCGCGAAAAGTCCGGAGAAAAGCAGAAGTCTTTGATCCTGCAAAGACTTGCACTTGCACGGAGCTTCAGTGGCTCCCCCAATTCTGTCGAAATGCGCCGTTGGCGCTGTGGATTTGATTTTGTGCATTCATTTGCAAAGTATCAACAATGTTTTTTAAATAAATTTCCAATTTATTTAAAAAGGCATAGTTGATACCGCTTTAATTCAAGGCTACATCGCGCTTCACCTAAGAAAGGCGAAAGCTTGTTCCAGTGTTGAGGGGCTGTTTTGACTCGCCACGATCAGCAGTTCGAGAGCCTTAAAGACCAGTAATTCAATTCTATAACAACTGGCTTCTCCCTTTTGGAGGTCTGCTGCCCAAAAAAGAGTGAAAAGCTGCACAAATGCAGCAGAAAGCTCTTGAAACAAACCGCTACACGACAGCATGGAGTTAAGGGGAATTCACATCTTTGTCCAGCGCTGCTATAAAGCCACCGTATTCCACAGTTTTAGTCCGCAAACATGTGCAAAACGAGTTCAGTGAAGGCGCGCTGAATGTGCTGGCTCTCCACAGAGCACTTCTTGCGGAAATGTGACGCCAGCAAAAGACTTTCTGAGACCACTCTTGCTTTAATATTAGCCTGGAGCCGAGGAAAGCTTGGCTTTTTGGGAGTAACTTTGGCCCAGGAGTCTGTGTCGTCTACACTGAGAGTGGAGTGAACCCAAAGAGCTTCATATCCGCGGCACTGCGGGCAACTCAGCACTTGTTGAGCCGCAGCAGCGCTCGCCTAACCTATTTGCCCTGCATTGTGTCCTCGCGTAGCCTATTTGCTTTGAATTGTGCATAGGATTAAGAGAGAAGTGCAACAGCAGCATCGAATTTGGTAGTAAAGCAGCAACGGCATTAACAGCAACACCGGCAACGCGGCAGGCGTTGCCCAGAAGCCCCAGTTAAACGCTACCAAAGCTGGCTTCTAAGTAATGAATAGATAAATGACTTTGTTGATCACTAACGCATCTTTTTTCAGCTTGTAGTCCAGAGAGTATGAGCAAGAGCAACGAGCCACCGGTGAGCGTTGTCGTCGCAGGGGGAAGACAAGCCCAGCTGTGCAGTGCGGCCGTGCTGCCTAGCAGAGGCCGTCTCAAGAGAACTGCAATTCTTTTTAAAATATAAATAAAGTTGTTTCTTGACTTGAAGCGCAGTTGTTGCAGTTGTAGCCACTTACACGAGAAGCGAGGTGGTCGTCGCTGGCCGCAGTGCATGACGACTCACCAGCCACTTGTCTGCAGCCCGAAGCTG